TCTCTCTCTCTCTCTCTCTCTCTCTCTCTCTCTCTCACACACACACACACACACACACACACACACACACACACATTCTGGGGCTCAAAGACATATATGCAAATGCTTTACACTGAATTATACTCTTAGTCTCTTCTACTTAGATTTCTAAAAAATATGTTTTAGAAATCCTTGGATCATTTTGTGATTTTCACTCCTAAGGTGAGGTCTCTTATTGCTTTGGGTTTGGGGGTTAGAGAATATCTAGTGTTCATGTAAAATCACAACTCTGCTTTAAAGGAACTGATAGTTTATTCTAAGTTAAATACGAGTGGCCTGCTACCTTGAATGACTGTTTCCACTCGTAGAGTCCTACTCAGCAATGTCCGGGGAGAAGGCAAAGAATGCAGCAGGTTTCTGCATTTCCTCGCATTCTCTTGGTGCTCAGCGGAGCACAGTGTCTCACCATGCTAATTCTGCCCAGTTGCCAGATTTGCTGCAGGAGAGAACCAGCTGAGTTCTACTTGAGCACAGACAACTGCCTGCCTCCCACCCACACCCATGTCATACACAGGAGTGCTGCAGAGGACTGAAGGAGAATGTACGAATCTTGTTTGACCAGAAGAAAGATTTATGTTTTGGGCAACAAAACATTCATCACATTCTGCTTTCACCCTAACAGTACCCTATTTGAAGCCAAGATCCACTTTTCCCTGCAGGACCCAGGGAAAGAGGTTTATCCTTTGTAGCCTGAGGAAATCATGACGATTTTAGTCTCCCACTGGCGATGATTTCGGTGTGAGCATGTGGCCCAGCTGGGACAAATGAAGTAACTGAGGGGCTGGGGATTTAGCTCAGTGGCACAGTGCCTGTCTGGCAAGCATGAGGTCGTGAGTTCAATTCCCGGTACCAGAAAAACACAAAAAAAGAAGTAACCAAGCAGGTTTTCGTCTCTCTTAAAAGACATACAGGAAGATACTGTCCTCTCCCCAAGACAGTGATGGCCCTGGACCAGTTTTCTGAACACCTGAGCCGTAAACAGAAGGGAGAAAGCCAGGGAGAAATGAACGAAGAGTATTTCAGAGCCAGCAGCAGGCAGGCTAATGTCCAGAGCCCGCTCCGCCCCTGGCTTTCTCTCTGGGAAAGAATACATGGCCTTATGAGGCATGGTCCCTGCTACATGTGGCTGAAAATATCCAACCCCTCAGCCACCTTGCTAGACACACTTGCCCTCTCCGTGACGTTCGTGCTGAAAGGTCACCCTGCTAGCCTGGACCCACACCTTACTTTCCGCACCTGCCAAACACCACCCTTGAAGTGACCCTTGAAAACTCCCAGCTGATATAGCGGGATAGGTTGGGCGGTTGGACCACCTTTTCTGACAGAGGTAGAGAGATGGGACCTCCTTCTCTTTCTGATCCACAGTGTCTTAGTGATTGAATGGGACCAGAACGCTTTGGATCACTGCCTCCTGCCACCCTTATGTGAATTTTTGAGTCAGTTACCTTATCTTGCCCCCAGCACATACCATCTGGAACGAAGTCCTCGCTGAGGCCAAGAAAAAAAATTAGGCTATCTATTTTCTAAGGCTACTGTCATTAAAGTAAAAATCCAGTTCCAGTACAAGGTTACATAAATTGGACCTTAACTATCTGTATTCTGAAAATAAGTATATTTCACATAGTACCCTCTTCCCTCTCTCAGAACACACAAAATACACAGGAGGAGGAGCCGGCTGTGGGAAAACAGTTCAAAGTTGTGATTTGAACATCTCCCTTTTCTAATTTATTCAGTTCTCTGGGACAAGAAGTATGACATCAGTTGGAGGTAATTAAAAGTCTGCATTGCAAATACTTTGGCAGAACTGTAAGAGTGACTTCCTGGCCCACATGGCTCTGCCAGGCTCACCCAAGCACTGGTGCCCACCAAGCACAACTCCTGATTCTGTGCTTGTAGTTGTCAGATGCACACCGTACTCAGGAAAACAAGGGCCCCATGACAACGAATAAAGGGTAAAATTTCCAGCAACCTCTGTGAGCTCCATCTCAGAGTGCTGGGCCAGCATACAGAGTAAAGCGTTGATGTCTGGCTCTGGCACACGTTCCATGGGGACTGTGTCTCCTGGAAGACTGGAAACACAGACTCTATTTTTCTTGCTTACCTCTGGGAAGAGGATAAATACTTTAGCAAGGGAAAGCGAGTTCAGTCTTGTTAATTACCTAGGGAGTTTATGATCCTTCTTCTAAAGCAGCATAGCAGGGTGGTTTGGAATCCTGTCCCTGTCGTGTAGCCGTGTAAACTTGGGCAAATTACTTTACCTCTGTGCTATGGCTTGACTGTGTCCTCTCAAGTCTATGGGCTGAACGTTAATCCTCAATGTAGCAATGTTGAGCATGATTAGGTCATTAGTGATTTGCCCTCAGAAGTGGTTTAATACTGCTATCGCGGAAGCGGGTAGTTATCTCTGGAGTGGGCTCCTCATACAGGGATGAGTCCAGTCCTCTTCTCTCTCTTACCCATATGATATTTCCGCCCTGTTATAATGGAGAAGCAAAAACGGCTCCCATGGGTACAGCTCCTCAATCATGGACTTCCCAGCTCAAGAATCACAAACCAAATAGACAGTTTAGAAATCATCCAGCTGTGGTGTTTGGTGACAGCAACACATCACAGAGTAAGACACCCTGCACCTCCATGTTGTCAGTTCTAATGTGGGAAGAGTAATTAAGCTGTGAGAATTAAGTGAGTGTGAAGTGCTTAGAACAGCAGCTAGTGCACTGTAAATACTAATTATTATCATTATTACATAGTGTATCAGCCATAAACCAGAGTAGTACCTTTACACTATTATTGTGCCATTACTATGCAGCAAGAAGAAATTTGTGTTGAGTGTTATGGCAGATAGAATAACGGTCCTCCGCCAGTCTGTAAAAAGATGTATCAATATATGATTCTGCGGTTCCTAGTACCGGAGAAAAACCAAAAAAAAAAAAAAAAAGATTCTGTTTTCCAAGTTTTTTTGACTGAAGGGGTAACAATTACTTTAAATTGCATAAAGTCAAGTCTCCTGGCTAGAAAAACGTGGGGTGCGGGTCTTGTAAGCTAGAAGCTAGACAACTGTCAGTGAAATGATTTGGTTCAAGAGTTTAGATGGTGCTGGCCTGTAATCCCAGCTACTCAGGAGAGAAACTGAGGTAAAGAAAATTACAAGTTTGAGACCAGCCTGGGAAACTCAGTGAAGCCCTGTCTCAAAATAAAACATTTTAAACAGAGAGGGACTAGAATGTAGGTCACTGGTGGAGCACTTGCTCAGCACAGTGAAGCCTTGGGTTTAATCCCAAACCCAAGCTGAGCGCTGAGACACAGTGTCTTGCAGGGCAGGTAAGCAGGGTTTATTCTGAATGTCCACCTTCTTTTTCCAGGGAATGCCTGGAGAACTGCACTGAGAAAGCTGTGTGGTCTCAGCCACACCCACCCCAGCCACCTGGAAAGCAGGAGCCGCAATCATTAGCCACATCTACTACAAGCTCAGGTGATGAGTTTCATCCCACCTCACTGTTCCGCCATTCCACACAGAGAGGCACATCACCTCAGGTGGTCAAGTGTCAGCCCTCCTCCGATCAGACCATATACCTGGACCCCGAACCCGCCAGGCCCATGGGCAGCACCAGTATGCCGTGCTCACGATGGCGTGCGAGACCTTTATTTTCTCCGTATCACACATTCTGGACTGTTTCATTTTATTTTCAACTGTCTCACTGAAGGGGAAAAAAACTTCACTAAATATATAGTGTGCCTGAGGGTCTCTCCAAGTTTATTCCTATGAGACAAATGTATCTCCTCATGGGAACGAAATCCAAGTCCAGTCCTGGCAGCTCAGTTAAGAATTACCCTTTCATCCAGTTTTCCCAATTTGAGTCTTCATTTCAGGGAAAAATAATATTTACTTTTGAATAAAACAGTATTTGAATAAAAACAGCATTGAAAAAGTATGTGCTATGAACTGAACAGAACCCTCAGGTGCAGTTTTTAAATTGAACTAATTTTAAACTTATAAAAACTATTGTGTTAAGCACTGCATCACCCAATTTTCTATGAGCTGGAGATACAGACCAATTTTGTCCATGTTGGTCAAATGAGCATCGTGTTATATTATCACACAGCAGGGTCTCTTTAGAGGCAACAAAGAAGAAGACTCAGGAGTCTACCTGGGGCAGAGGCTGGGCAGCACTTCAACACTTCCTATGACTATTCATTGTGATGCCTTGGTGGGGAGGTTGTGCTTATTATCTTTGGGATGGAGGTCACAGATACTGTAACAGGCCAGGCCCCCCCAAACAAAACTTATCTGGTCCAAAACATTAAGTGCTAAGGCCGAGAACTACCCCTTGCTCTAAAGAATGATTTTGTTAAGAAACTAAAGACTCCGAGGTGGAAGCCCTGCTAGTAGACTGTGGCTTCCCTTTGTTTCTCTCCTAAAGTTGACTGAAAGTAAACAGCATTTATGACTCAGACGACTGCTGAAAGCAGGGATTGCGTGACTGGAGTGAGTGACAAAAACAATCATAAATGGCTTTGCCTGTCTTGTTCCCTTTTCAGAGTCAGAGAAAGAATGAAATGACCAGTAATGATCATTAAACTGCTGTCTTATCCTATCTCAACCAGAGCTATTCATTCCGGTTACTCACAGACCCTTGGGCTGGAACCATAGTAAATCAGGGTCACCCCCAGTGTGAATGTATGAGGCTAGTCCTTTTACTCTGTGCTAATGACCTGGGCAGAACATCCACAGCAAGTTTCCATGAAAAAGCCATTTGAGGCTGGCCATGTAGCTCAGGGGTATATTGCCTGCCTGGCAAGTACAAGGTCCTGAGTTTGATTCTATGTACCAAAAAAAAAAAAAAGCCATCTTTGACCCTAATCAAGGAATAAATGGTTCTACATGAAGCCTACTACTGGCTTGTTTTTAACATTCTGTATTCAATGAGACCACAACTATAAACAATTCTTCACTCTCATTTCTCCATGAAGTTCATTTGCACTGTGTCAGCATAGTGGGCTTTTCGCATATGTTCAGGACAAGCTGATATGAACAGACCTGGACTGAATAATGTTTAGCAAAATCAATAAACCCTCTTATTAGTCACTAAAGGGACTGATTTTATGTCTATAAAAGTAGAACAATTAGAAGCATATTAATGGCAGTTTCACCATGGTAATATAATGGAGCCAAGTATGCTTGTCTTTTGGGAATCTTTAATCTATCCTTTGGTACTGGCTAGATACTCAGCCAGAGAAATGGCACACAATATAAACAAGCTCTGGCCTTTGGCAGTTCGTGTTATCAACAGAAAGATGATAACACTGTAACAGTACGGGGAAGAAATAAAGCTTCATTTAGTGATTCCTGTAAACCAGTCATGAATAATGCTCCAGGAAAAGCCTGTTCAAATCACACTGTGCTTTAGGTCATGCACCTCTGTTATCAGCATCCCCTTTATTACAGTAGTAGAAGTAGACTTCAGGTTGCTCGAATGCATTTATTTATGACCCCATCTTTGGAAACACGTAACCAGAAGTGATTAAAAGTGGCAAGTACTAAACACACTCCTTGTGTATTTTGTAGTTTGTATACTTATGACTTTTAAAATATACATTACAAAAAGTAGACATATCATTAGGAATCCTCAGTATTTCCCAGTCTGCCTCAACAACATGATAATTCAGCTGGTGAAGATGTAAATGGACCTTAATTCTGCTCCTGTATCCCAGTAGGTAAGGGGCTGGCCAGGAACTGGAGGAGCCACAGGCAGATGAGACAGATGATGTGAAGTCTTGGAAGATGTATCAAAATACAGTTTAAGGACTGAAAAATTTGATAACTTAGAACAGATGAGAAGTATGTGAAGTAGTCTTACGTATAGGAATAAACACTGGAAACAATGTCTTTGTAAATGATGACATATATGAAACTCGAAAGAAAAATAAACTAAAAATTAGGGAACAAACATCCTAATTGAAATCTAGGAAGCATATAAACTAGACTTGCAAGGCACAAAACAAATGCAACACTTTAAGGTGGCCTTTCAAAAGCAGAGGAAACATTTCAATTGCAAAAATGGTGCTCATTTATGAGGCAAAGACCTTTAAAAATAACCAAATTATATCAAGACAAATTCTGTCAATTTAAAGAACTCTTTAGGAAACAAAGTGGTAAAACTGTCATTAACAATTACAGTAGAGTCATAAAAACTTACTGCTGGAAGCCAATGAAACCAACCAGCGCAAACACAGGAAGCAGCCTCCCACCTGCAGACTTCTGCACTTGCCTGCCCATCTCACAGCAGAGCCTTCCCCCAGGACGGAGCACACACCTCGCTGCTCATCTCTGCAGGGAAGCCTTCCCTGACTGTTCTGTTCATTTGTGCAAACTTCTACACATTCACTATGCTCCACCTAGCCTATAATTTTCTTCATAGCATTTATCAACTGCCTAACATACTGTAATGGCTTATGTCTAGACGGTCCTCCAAAGCCTCATGCGGTCATAGGTAGGGCTTTTTCAGGGTATGTGACGCTGGGATTGATTCATGATGCAGTGCTGGAATCAAGGGCACTAGGATTAAGGGTGTGAGTGGTACACACCCTAAGTAGCCTGGACACAAGGGCCAGAAAGAGGCTCCTCTTGTCCTTTGCTTGCTTGCAACCTTCTGCCCACTATGAACTGTTTGTCCTTTTCAATGCCTGTCTACCATGCCACCCTGCCTTGGAGCCAGGAGATTACGGACCAAAACCTATACAAACTGTGAGCTAAATAAACCTTTCCTCCTTTAAACCTTTTTCATTTTGGGTGTGGAGTATTTCATCTATGCAATGAGAAAAGTAACCAAGAAATATACTTTGTAAATTCATTATGTACTTTGTTATGTGTTTAACCCATAAGAAAATGCAGGTATTACAAGGACAAGAAGCTTTGTTTGCTTTGTTCATTTCCTGGTACCCTGTGTCAGGCCTAGGGTAGAACAGGTGCTAAGCAGCTCCCTGTTGGAGGTAACAAAAGGTGGAAGGAAAGAAAGGAGGAAGAAAGGAAGAGAGGAAGGCAGGGAGGGAGGAAGGAACAATGGGAGAGAAAAGAATGAGTTAAAATTTGGCGTAACATATTCTTGTAAATCCACTGAGTGACAGCTGCCTAACTTATGACATGTTTTATCTCCTACCCACATAATATAAGACTTCTGTCTTTGTCTTTTTTAATTTTTAAAACTTTTATTAGTACATGTTTGGAATATCATTCCACATTACAGAAACCTATACCTACTAATTTGTAGTGATATATCCCGTATTCAGAATAAATACACTGTATGTATACTAAATTAAATATAGTGTTTGATTATGATACCCACGTATCATATAAGAAAAGTGTATCGTATCTTATGCACTTATAGTACTAAGAAATCCTTCATTGAGGGGCTGGGGATTTAGCTCAGCGGCAAAAGCGCCTGCCTGGCAAGCGCAAGGTTGTGAGTTCGGTTCCCGGTACCGGAGAAAAACCAAAAAAAAAAAAAAAAAAAAAAAAAAACCTTTTTTTAAAATTTAAAACACAACCCCTCCTCCAGAAAAAAAATAAGAAAAACAAAAAAACCTTTTTAATTCTGATTGCCAAATTATTTAAGGCAGGTATAAAAAAGGAAAGCATTCAATATACATTTTACATAAAATAAACTAGATTACAGCATAAAACAAGTAACCAGGCAATGGCATTAAAGTCTTTCTTCTAAAACTGGAAAATTGTAAACATTAAAAAAAAAAAAAGGACTGCAGGACTATTCAAGTAATCGAACAATCACAGATGTCTCTGTTATGCAGGCTACTGGGTTATTTGCCATTCAAGATTATCAAAAAATGACACCTCATTATTCACAGATGCTCATGATTTCCCCATTTTAATCTTTACATTATATACAACACAGTTTTTGTGGTACTGGCAACCCCATGCCTTCCAAAAGTATTTTTTTCCCACAATACACAAGTACAAACAGTGACTACAGGAACATTTTACACTGAGGCGTCTTTAAGGAGCCACCAAATAGATAACTAAATTGTATCAAAGTGTCAGCATCACAGTTTGCCTTTCTGAGGGGCTTACGGGAAATATATGAAGGATATGCAAGGATCAGGCACACTGATACATAACATTATTTATTTACAATTTAAAAGAAAAAAAGAACAGAAAATAAGCAGCCTTTTGTGGCTAACACTTTTCAACATGACAAATACATTTTTTATTTTCTTTACTGAGTGGTTTGCGACTTGGCAGCAGACCCTGTGTGTGTGAGCCTGGTTACTGATACAAAAAGTAAAGAATATATAATATATATAATATATATATGTATATATACAGATATGTATACGTATATATATATAAAACAGAAGTTTAATTACAGCAACATTTGTTACTCTGTGATAAAATCTGTAATTTACAAAAATGAAATGACTGGTTTTTGCCTGCCATTAAGGCATTTCAAATTAACACCATGGAACTGATGTCTGTATAAAGCGCTTCCCATGTGATCCAGTCACATGACACCATACACTTCTAATCCTGTTATTCTCTGCAAAAGAAAAGCACGTGTTAGCACAGGCCTCTACCAACATTTGATGCCGAAAATCCGGAAACACTGAGACTGAGAGACCTATTTTAATTCTAGTTCATTCATAGAATTCAATTCCAGAGAAAATCAGTCATAATGATATACATTTTGCGAAAAATATTAATTTTATGTTAATAATAATTCCTTTAAACTATTTTCCTTCTTAAAACAACTTCAAGGATAATTGGAAAATGAACAAACAATATCTTTACATTGTGATAATAAATTTGTTTGCAATTTTATCTTTAAATATAATACAACACAGAGAATCACAGTGAATTACTTTAACAAAGCTGTGAGGAAAACCCAAAGAAATTTCAACTGTGTAAAGCACTCACTGGTTCATTAACAACCCCCATTACATTCAAGGTATTTGGCTCATGGAACCCAAGTTGATGGGAAGCATGCATCATAATAAGCACTTCTGTTATAGTTCTAGGGACTCAAGGAACTAACGTTTTCATCTAAAAGGCCAATCCTGACTTCCTCAAAGTCACGAAAATGTCTGTCTAGAAAATGAATTTAAAATGAAGAGGACATTTACCTTCTTTGTGCAGGAAACATTCCTGATGCAGATGCCTGAGCAGCCACCTGCTGAGAGGCAACGAGGGCAGCAGAGGTCAAGCCTAACGGGGGAAGCAAAGGGGGATTCTGAGACATTTCCAAAGAGAAGCGTGGACACAGGGAGCAGCAAAGGCTGCAGACACAGTAGCAGCAATCTGTCTTTTCCTAAGCACACACGAAATGTTTTATGCTACAAAAACAGAGTACAACCCACTTGGTCTAACCAATATGTATCCCTTTACTGAATATGCTGTGGTTTTGTTAATAGCTCTTCAGACAGGTTACAGCATTCTATCTCTCTGGCACTGCGAAGTGCTAAAATGTTTGCACACATTCCTGAATATGAAGCCCAGAAGAAAGAGTAAGTACCAGGTAAAAAGAGGAATCAAAGTCAGAGCAAAGTATAGATGCAATATGCTATTTCCTTACAGTGCGATGCTTTAATAATAACTTTGATTCCTTTAATATTTGTCCAAGTGATTCAACACAATGCATCCAGTAAAGTACACAGAATCAATAAATCAACCTTAGAAATAGCCTCAATTTACAAGAC